CAATCATGCAGATATAAAAGCAAACCATTATATATAAACGTGGAACAAAATGGAAATTGCAAAAGGATGTGTGACTTTCATTGCAGCAGTACATAACATTTGAGCATTTTCACTCTGTGGGTTTGTTTCTGTAGCAAACAACATTTTAGAAAATTTTTTCCCCACTGTTCTTACCATTTTTGTCCTCGCACAGTATATCCAAAATGACAATACAGTATTAAATAACGTTTCAATTACAACTGTTAACACTTTTCAAAGATTTATATGTTAAACGTTTATTATATATTATCAGCGCTCAGAAGTTATACAAACACACAGGGCACATTTGAACAGAAATCATTCCTATATACAATTTGTTTTACAAATGTTATGTTCAAACTTAAAATGCGTTTCATAATGTTTCTCCTAAATGTAGCTATACCAATAATCACGAAAACACCCCTCATAAGTTTCGCATTTCGAAGCTTTTCCAGTTACGAGCAAGATTTCAGGGCCAATGGGTCACTCAAGAGACCGAATCTTCCAGAACACTGTGTACCTCAGATACTGAAGCACAAGGCCACAAATCCACCCTGCAACACGCGAACACACACAGACACAGTGTCAATGCCACCTTTGTGGCTTTATACACGCTCTACACTTCAAACCAGTCTCCTTCATATCATATTTGTATCACATGAATCCATCAAATGTTTTTTAGCAATACAAATAGACACTGTGATATCAAAGCAATTAAAAGAATGTTTTTATTACAATAACAACAATAAACACAATACTTACAAAAATAATTCAGTCTACACGATAAAACAGTCTAACTTAAATTTACATCATGAATACAAGACAACACTGATTTATAAAAATTAATTTAACGTTAATAATAACAATTACTGTATTTACACCAACGGACAAAACAATAATTTTAACAATCACGGGAATGCTTCAAAAATAATGCGAAAACACTTTTCAAAATATATCCTTTTTTGCTCAATTTATTTGCTTCAGTGAACATTTACTACAAAATGTGCACATATTTTTATTTGCCCTGTTCACAACACAAATACTGAGACACAGTGAAACAATCATCTTTAGAGATACTAACTAATGATAGAGATAAGAATCATTAAACAGAATATTCTAATGCACGAGAACATATAAAGAATTTGAAATTAATGCTTTAATAAATACATAAAATTAAGGACACATTCAAAGGACTAAAATTTTGGACAAAAAAAAAAAAGGTTGAATCCTGCTAAAGCAATCTGTAATTTAATATATTTTAGGGTCAAAGGTATCTGGCATTTTAGGTATCTGTCTAATTTGCTACCCGAGGGTTTAAAAAAGAAAAAACTAAACACAGCATAGTTATACACCTCAGTAATATACAATAAAATAAAACAAATAACATTTCACAGCGGATTAGAGCACATCATCATTTACCAGTAAAATCCCGAGGGCCTGAAGGCACCATTTTATTTGGATATTATTCAATTCACTTCAAGTTTATTTGTATAGCGCTTTTTACAATACAAATCGTTGCAAAGCAACTTTACAGAAAATTAAGTTTCTACAATATTTAGTATTATGATTTTTTGTAACTAACTAACAAACATGTTACTTATATCAAATCCAGAAATGAGTTTAAAAAGCAGATTAAAATCTTTCTGTACGTGGCCAGGAAAAAAAAAGTACAATCTAAAAATGTCACAATAACATCTATGCAGAAGATCAAAAGTAGAACTATAAAAAAGCGCATTTGCTTCAATTTGAGACTGATAAACTAGGCACCCAAAGCACGATTCATATCATTCATATCATATCATCTCCTATAAACACAACAAATGCAATCGAAGCAAATTTCGGGAAAATGTATCACATTCGGGTAACAAATGAACATCGAATGGCAAAACATAGCTAAATATTGCAGGCGATGCCTCAAGTCAGAACTGATTCACGCTGCAAATTCTGGTACTGTGGAAAGGGAATCCATCTTCCTCTGCAAAACTCCTCCCTAAAATGGAGGCAGCTGTCCTAATACATCCAATGTCTCGCTCCAGCACTTGGGTACAGCTTTGAGAAGAGTCAGACGTTACGCTGCCATCAGCACGAGGACATGAGTAAAAGGAAGAAAGCAAGTAAGCCAGGACAGCCACCAAAAAGAGAGAGGCTCTGTGTTTTGGCTGCCTGCCAAGCTTTTGGCGGTTTATTTTTTGTCAGTAGTTTTGCCAAATGCCTTTGAAGTCTACGTACTGTCCTTAGACTAACCATACCTTAGGCTACCTAAAATCCAAATTTTTTTTACTAAGAAAACAGACTAAACGCCAAACCACGGTGAATTAAAACGCAGTCATCCACCGCAAGCGAGAATCTCACGCGCAAAGACGGGCCTTAAATTGCCGGATAAACAGCAGCCGTCTTGGCGCATGGCTGTATGCTTTTAACCGCGCTGTATACAGTCCAGACACGCTGATAGATATACTCACTGCAGCACAGTGTTTTGGCATCACGAGTTCATGGGGTTAATGAGAACCCGTGCTCACGTGAGCACAGGTGCGTCATCTGTCTGAAGAGATGATCGCGATAAACTCTTTCTTCATCCCGCCGAACGACATGCGCTAACATGTAATCACATTAAAATGACCACCCTGCAGCCGACCAGCGGTTTACATGCGCCGTCCTGTTTGCTATGATTAAGCAACATCGCACAGTTATATTCATGAACAACACAATCACCATAACAACGGCAGACTGTATCAGACAAAAAGATTTGCGCCCCGCCACGATCATCTTACCTGTGAATTAATGAACTGTCTGTCTGGTGAAAAACATGGAATAAAACTTTGAAATGCGCTACAATATACTCTAATTTTCAAGCTACGATCAGACTACAGTGTTGGATGATTGTATAATTCCGCTCTGTCTCCCTTTGTTTTTCTAATGACTATGAGCGAGACTCTGGATAAACTCCATCACCATTTTTATCAGTTTCAGACAGACTCCAGACACTCTCTGGCCACTCGCGTGTCGTGCACTGTCTGCGCAGCGGCTTCGCGAGCGCTGGCGCGCCACAGACAGACAAGCTCCAGACCAATGGAGTCCCGAACTGGAACATGGTATCCAATAACAGCAGCCCAAAAATCATAACCTCTGAATGACTCCCCGGATGGATGCAGAGAGAAAATAATCTTTAGGAAACGCAGTCAAAGAAATATGATCGGAGGTGGGATGAATCCGGTTTATCCTGCAGGCATAACGCTTGCTGATATGGATATAAACTCTTGAGTCGTAGGAGAGAAGGAAACGGCATAATAATGCGTTACTCTGCGCGCAGACACTCTCTGGCCACTCGCGTGTCGTGCACTGTCTGCGCAGCGGCTTCGCGAGCGCTGGCGCGCCACAGACAGACAAGCTCCAGACCAATGGAGTCCCGAACTGGAACATGGTATCCAATAACAGCAGCCCAAAAATCATAACCTCTGAATGACTCCCCGGATGGATGCAGAGAGAAAATAATCTTTAGGAAACGCAGTCAAAGAAATATGATCGGAGGTGGGATGGATCCGGTTTATCCTGCAGGCATAACGCTTGCTGATATGGATATAAACTCTTGAGTCGTAGGAGAGAAGGGAACGGCATAATAATGCGTTACTCTGCGCGCGACCGTAGCTTTAAACAGTTGTCTGGTTTACATCACCAAAGGATAACTTATTTAATAAAAATAGTGTATTTTTATAGGCATCCAGTTTGATGTGTTTATATTAATTAAATTTTTAAGAGTAATAGTATAAATATAAAATAATAGTAGGATGTTGGCATTTCATAATAGCTAATATAGCCTATTAGCATATTAAATGATTAAAATATGCTTTGTGTAATTTTTGATCAATTTACAGCATTTGGATAGCTAATTAGTATACACAAACAAAGATCTGATAAAATGATTTGTGTTTTTAAACACTTTATTATTTGATCTTAATATTTTTTGACACTGTTGAAACTAAAGCCAAAACCGAATCTTTGCTAGTTTAACTAATTGTTCCACTAAGTGCTAATGATAAAAATAGAATAAAATAAAATAAATAAAAAAGTTGGGGTAAAGATCAAATGTAACATTTTTCTTTGTATTTTTTTTAATTAGACTATGATGGAGTAACTTTTTAAAGCATTGGTGAGACTCATCACTTACAAATTCGACCTTTTTTGTTAAGCTAAAACTTCCCAAACTCTAACTAGTGAAATTGAATTTTGAAATGAATTTGACATACTTAAAAATCACATGTAGTAGGCTACAAACATCAGTCAAATGCCTAGTCAGGGTGATATGGAATATTGAGAACAAAAACAAGATTCTGCCACTGCCAAGGTTACTTATAGAAAATAATACAACAATGAAATCAGTAAAAAATTTATCCCAACTTTACTGAAAAAAGTACAAGCAGCTGCTTGCACAACACACATTCTGTAAATACAATTAGCCTAAATACAATTACCTCAAAGTTTGTTAAATGAGGAGGTTCTGTTTAATATAGAGTTTGTTTAATTTGGAAAGCTTGAAATAACGTTATGAAAATGTATATTGCAACTTCCATAATCCCCTATCCAGTAAGAAAAATATCTGCTACTTACTGTAGGCTAACAGCTATGCTACTTGATCTTATTTGACACATAATCATCACCTCAGTCTGCTTTGTCTATAACCTACTGAGACCCAAATCTTTACCCCAAACACCTATTAATCAACAACCAAGCATTGATGGAGAATGTGAAGGGAGAATGCATTTCTGAATACTTCACTTATTGTGAATAGCGCTATACAAATAAAATTAATTGGGCTTATTGGCTAAAAAGATACGCATATTAAAATTTAAAGCAAATTTCTGTCACGCCAAACTGAAGTCTGTCTACCCTTCAGCTTCACCCTTATTTGGAGTATACGGTAACGCTAAATAAGTCAGGCTGGGCTGTAGAGACGCACACCCATCACATCATACCCATGATGCAGCGCGGCTCAGTCCGGTCGCCATGATTCCTGTGCAGATGTTTTCAGAGCTCAGACTGAGGAGATTTGACGCTAAGCTAACGGCCTGAAGCTCTGCACTTAAACCAGTTTCAATGCACTTATCGACGTTATAGAGAGATACCAGAGTCTCCAAGATAACATACAGTCTTGGGTTATGGCGACCAATGTCGGGGGTATGATATATATGTAATATTAATTTACACTTAGGTTAGCTCCCAGCTAGTGCTAACGAGGTAGCTGCTTTTGTTTCATAATTTGCTGAGCTTCTGAGATCTGCTGTTGGTTTAAGTTACAGATTGAACACAGTTTACTTTGATGTCACGACTATCTGTTAGGATGTTTTTTTAACTCTATGGTGTGTCATATTGATGATCGTGAGTTATTAGCAGACGTGCATTTACATATTTCTACTCATTTGCGGTTGCTAACTAGCTAGCTGAAGGGTTGCAATGAATGCGCAGCCCGTGTGTTAGTATGCACAATGCAACGAATGATGTATACTTGGATAGTGATTTTGACATTTAAATGGTGGATGAAGAACAGTTGTGTGTAGCACCATGAGGTTGGGTCTGTATGGTTATATAAGCATCTGTAACGTTAGCGCTGCCTCTTCAGACAGCAGGACTTGTTTTATCCAGGCCAGAGATGCAAATGATGTGTTTTGAGAAGATCTCTATTTCAATAAAAACTGGATAGTTCTGTCACTCTGTAATAACACGTACGAGTTTGTGTGTTGAATGTAGGCGTGATGTGTGTTGTAGTGGTTTATTACAGAGACCAGGGTCAGTTCTTGTAAATCCCTTTAACCTGTCAATCCTACACCACTGTCAGCTGCAAGGTTGCAGATCTGATTTTATATATCTGTATTTGATTTGGATTACATGCAAATGTGCTTACCAGTGAACATAATTATGCTTTAAATTGGTAGTCGAGCAGCCTAGAAAGTAAATATAACAAGAACTGCACTTCATACAATCTTCCAGTGGCTTCTTTAAAATAACATTTGTACAGGGTAATGTTTTTTTATTTGGGAATACTGAGCTGATTATATGATAAACAGCTGTTGCCAAATTGATGGTTAAACCCAAAATTAAAATTCTGTCATAATTTACTCACCCTCATGATGTATAGGCTATGACTGACTGTGGTGGTACATAAAAGATGATATTTTAAGTAATGTGTTTTTGTTTATGTAATGGATTTCAGTGGTCACCGGTCTTTGGTTTCCAAACATCAACATTTCTTTTGTGTTCTGCAGAAGTCATACAGGTTTGAAGTGACATGAGGGCAAGTAAATCATCACAGAATATTTGCTTCAAAGAGAAATTGCTGCTTCAGAATCTTGAACCCTAACATCTCTATATGATATAATATAGTGTGTAATGAAAGCTTAATGCGTTTCATTCTCTTGTCTGTGTGTAGATGATGAGTTTGATGAATATGATAAGCCTGGTGCTGAAAGGTCAAGAAGACGGAGAGGAGAAGATGACGACTTGGAAAGGTAAGTGCTCACTGTCTCATTGCTGGCTTAGTTTTCATGTCTCTATTAGGCAGAATGAAAAAGACGAATAAAGAGAGCATCAGTTTACCAGAAGCACAATAGCATTCCAGCAAGAGTCTTTAGAGGTTGGGTGATGTCTACCAAATTGGCATAGGACGATGTCTATAGTGAAACATCGCGTTGGACAATGACATCGGGGGAGGGATGGTGGTGGTGGAGGAATCATGATGCCGGCTCAACATCGTGATGTCATCAGCCATCGGCGATGGACGATGGCATCGTCTATCGGCCCAACCCTAGTCTTTCATAGTAGGGGTGGAATGGTTCAACTTACTCACGGTTCGGTTTGTCTCATGGTTTTAGAGTCACGGTTTCGGTACGGTTCAGTATGTGCTATGTTTAGGGAAAAACTATACTGTCAAATAAAAATAAAGAAAATAAGAATAATCTAACTACAAGCAACAGCACAAATAAATACAATAGAGTAAAGATACAAATAAAATAAACAGTAATTTTCTGTTTTTTTTTAGGTAGGTCTAGCATTAGTTTTTAGGTACAGAAATTGAATAAAGTAATGAAATGTAAAACAGCATTGCATATTTGCAATGCTGCGAATGAGCGCAGCATTGCGCTTCGTATGAGCGCATGCACAAATCTTCTCACTGCGCGCGTGAGCTCGCGTCCTCTGGCTCTTAAATGTTTAAACTGGCAAAGCTTACATGAGTTTAGTTTAAACACAGATATCAACGTGTGCTGTTCAGGTCTCACCTGTGCGCGCGCGCTTTCAGCAGCCGGGTGATGACGGAATAAATGACTGCTCATATTCCAGCATACGTTACGGCATTCGCATTGAACAAGAGTGAATGGTTTGTGCACGTTTTTTTTTTTTT